GAGGCCGCGGGCTGCTCGGTTCGGGGTCTGGGCAGCGCCGCCCCCACCGCCCCGGGCGTTCTGCACCTGCCGGGCCGGGAGGTAGAGTTCGTCCGGAGGCAGGTGTGGGTGTTGGTGATGTTGCTGGCTTGCCAGGCCCTGTGCACCAGGACAGTCTGCCCCTGGGAGGCGTCTGAGCTACGTTCTGGAGTCCCCCCGGTACAACCGTGATAAGCCAAGCTGAGGTGTTCGAGGAGAAAGGATCATTATGGCAGGGAAACCCACATGGTGTTCTGAGGCCTTGTGGCTTGATACTCAAGTATCCAAAAACAGGTGTGCCATGTTAAATACAAGTGTAAGAAGCCCTTTACCGTTTCCCCCTCAACAGTGAAGTGCTGTACCCATAGTGAAGAGTATGGTAGTCCTGTGATCCCCCAAGCATGTGGGGCCAGCAGGTATTGTGCTCCTCAGACACTGCAATGCAAGCCATCTCTTCCAGGAATGGTGATGGTCTTTCCGTCTCACTGCTGGCATGGCCTGTGCTGCCCAGGGCTGGCCTGAATGCTCTGGGAGCTCGTGGGGTGCACGTGCAGCCTCTTACTGTGTGTGTGAGGGTTCATGGGCATATACCATTGAGTGTATGTTCCACATCACAGTGGGATTTAGCTTTTCCCTGGCTACAGCTGATGTAGGGCATGTAACTGTGATACTTGTACATGCAGGCCAGCATCTGTAGCTGTGGGGTGATGCTTGTATGTGCATATATATGTTAATTATTTCCTAATTTTCTGAATTTGGAACGAATGGAAGGCATTTCAGTACCCCTAAGCAGTCTTTGTTGTCCATTTGGTTTATTGTCATCAGCAGAAGAGCTTGTCTCTTGCAGTTGCAGAATAACTAGGATGTGATGTACTGGAGTGTGTCCAGCCAAGGGCTAATGATTAAGAGACTGCAGCATCTGTCATACAAAGAGAGACTGTGAGTGCTGGGACTGTGCAGCCTGGAGAAGACTCCAGGGGATTTTTGTGAGCGTGTGAAAATAACTAGTGGAGGGAATAAAGGAGACAGAGCCAGGCTCTTCTCTGTGGTGACTCATGGTGGGACTAGGGGCGTTGGTCACACATTGGAGTACAAGAAGTTGCAACTGCAGGTAAGAAAACACTTGTTTTCTTCTGAAAGTGGTCAGATGCTGGAACAGGTTGCTCACAGAGGTTGTGTAGTCTCCATCATTTAAGATACTGAAGCCTCATCTGGATGGGGCCCTGGGCAGTCGGCTCTGGTTGACCCTGCCGGAGCAAGGGTTGGCCTGTGCCCACCAGCTTCAGCTCTTTTATGCATTTGGATCATGTTGTCTGAACAGAACGAAGCATGTACATGTTATAAACTGGGCACCCTTTGTCATTATGGTGAGTGTTGACTGTTTTATGCACCATCATAACATTAAGAAAAAGATCTGGCGTGCAGATTGAAGGTAGTGTTGGCATAGTGACTTCTACCTTTTCCTGCCCCTCACACTCCTGCCAGTGCCCCTGGATCCAGGAAGGCAGGGTGGGGAATGCTTTGTGCTCCTTCAGCACAAGGTGGTGAAGCTTCAGCAGTGATCAGAATGTGCCACGCTCTTGAAACTGAGTTGGAGAAGATAGGATTGTCTTGTAGCCACTAGCTGCTTGTCTGCCTGTAAAACTTCCCTGCACCCTGAAGGTGATAGGGGAGGTGAGATACAGGTGGAGCAGGAGGTTCTGTGACTGACCTTTCCTTTTTTAAAATTAAAAAAACTCCAAACAACCAAAACCATCTATTTAACAAAATACTGGTACATTTTTTAAAACCACAGGCTAGTTAGCCTCACCTGAGTCCCTGGAAAGATGATGGGACAGCTCATCATCCTGCATTCCATCTCTAAGTGCATGGAAGACAAGACAGTCATCAGGAGTTAGTCATCATGGATTCACCAAAGCAGACTCGTGCTTAACCAATCTGATTACCTTCTGTGGTGGAACAATTGGCTGAATAGACAAAGGAGAGCAGTGGATTTTGTCTGCATAGGCTTTAGCCAGGCTTTTTCCAATATCTCCCGTGGTACCCTCATAGACAAGCTCAGGAAGTGTGAGCTGGATGAGTAGATGGTGAGGTGGAGTGAGCACTGGTTAAATGGCAGAGCTTGAAGGATTGTGGCCAGCATCACAAGGTCTAGTTTCATGCCTTTCACTGGTTGTGTCCCCCAGGATTCAATTCTGGGCCCAGTATTGTTTAACTTACCCGTCACTGACTTGGATGAAGGGGCAGAGGCCTCCTCAGCAAGTTCACTGATGGCACAAAGCTGAAAGGAGCAGCTGATACACGAGAGGGCTCTGCAGCCCTTCAGAAGGACCTCAGCAGGCTGGAAAGATGGGGAGAGAAATTGTCTGAAATTCAGCAAAGACAAATGCAGCTCCTGTGCCTGAGGAGGAATAATCCTGGGGACCACTACAGGGTGGGGGTGACCTGCTGGAAAGCAGCTCTGCAGAGAAGGTTCTGGGGGTCCTGGAGGACAACAAGCTGTCCATGAGCCAGCAGTGGCTGGGCTAATAGGGAAGACTTGCAGTGTTTCCATTTTCAAGGATGTCTCTTGGTGCAGAAGAAGACAGAATTATTGGCTGGATGCCAGGCCCTGAGAAGGTGTGTGCTAAGACAAGATGCCAAACCTGCCAACCCCAAATTCTCTCAATTCCAGAGAATTATTGTAACCATCTCTATGCCCTGGGAAGTAAAAAACGTCTTTCATGGCCTTCGGCAGAGACTCTGCAAGATGATGGTGGGAAATCTGTCTCATGTAATTGAGTAATATTTAAAAATAGAATAAAGTGGTAGAATTGTAAGCCAGATTGTGCTTCAGCGGAGTATTCACTGGGCATCTGGGGTATCTATGCCATCTATGCAATGTGCATGTATGTTTGGTGCTCGTTTGTTTTTTAAAATGTGAATGGCATTATTTGTTTGAGATTATTTTCCAAATTGAAGTAAAGGAATGGTTTTTATTATGTGAGTAGTTACAAGCAGGCTGGATAGGGAAAGGACTGTGGTACCTCCCGGAAGGTAAAAATAATGGTGTTCACTCCTCTTCTCTGCTGTATTATATGTAACACCTTGTAAACTGCCTCTTGTTAGTTATCCTCTAAAGCAGTGTCAGTGGGATCTTGGAACCAGCCCAGAAAGGCATCCTGCTGGCTGAGTGTCTGATCACTGTGAGTCACCAGCCCTTCTGCAGAGCTTGCAGTGTGCTATCCTGACAGCTCTTCACAGCAGTTGTTTCTAGTAGGGGCCTGGTGACATGTCTGCAGGGATTGATCCTGGGAACAGATGTCTCCAGCCAGAGGTGAGGTGAAAGCCCTGCTCACAGTGCCCTCTCTGCTACTTTTCACTGGCCTGTTTCCTAAATATCAGCTGTCCCCACCTCCCCAGCTCAGCTGGGCTAGAACTCTCTGAGGAAGAGCTGTGCACAGATATCCTGTGGGACTCCATACAGAAGGATCAGAGTGGAAATGGGTGATTCCAGGCAGAGGTTTTTCTGCTGCCAGCTGTGGGGAAGAGGCACGTTAGCTTCATATCGGCGCTTGAGGGAGAGCCTCCAGACCCGCTGTGTTGTGTGGGCTGCCCTCACAGATTGTGTACACAAACCTCCGTGCTGAGACTTGCTGTGGCACAGGGCTGTCCTCTGTCAGTTGGGATTAGTTGCTGTGATCTTTTGGTTTTCTTAAAGCAGACCATCCAGGTCCTAAAGGCTGAATGTAAAACAAATGACTGTAGGCACCTGGGCAGTGAGCCTGGTGGAGCTGTGCTGGTTGCAGGCTGCAGCACCATGCCTAGATGTCACACGTGTCTCCCCGTGTGTGGTACCACAGTGGCTGATGTCTCCCAGAGCAGATTTCCCCCCGTGCTGCAGAAGGCTTTATCTGTGGCACACAGGTGTGGGGCACTTCCTGGCGCCAGCACAGCTGGGAGGGGGTGGTTGGTGTGAGCCGTGCTGGGTAGAGCCGGGCAGACAGGCAGTGCTGCGGGGAGCACGGATGGAGGGCGAGGGTACACGTACCCCAGGGGGCCAGGTGAGTGTCTGTGTGACATGGGTGAGCTTCAAACTGCACCTTTGGGATAGTGTGAGGAGGAAGAATAAATAGTAGTAACTTTAACCAGAACTGTGCTTTATTTTCAGAGCTCTTCGAGTGCTGCTGAGAATGGCTCTGACCTTGATGAAGAGCCTCTACTCAGAAAAAATCACCGCCGGTTTGTCATCTTCCCCATCCAGTACCCAGACATATGGAAGATGTATAAGCAAGCTCAGGCCTCCTTCTGGACAGCAGAAGAGGTGAGCCCTGGGCCAGTGGGCTGGCAAAAGGCAGTGAGACCACCAGAGTCCTGGTCCATCTTTCCTAGCTCTGCTGCTGGCTCCTGTGTTGCAAAAGTTGGAGTTAATTGCATCAAACATCGGGTGCCAGCACCAAAGCAGAACTCCCTTCACAAACAGTGGAAAGCAAGCTGCTTCCACAGGGTGATTCAGCAGAACTGTGTTAGGTGCTTAGTTTAGGATGAGGTGTGACCTGAGGTGCGACCTGAGGTGCTTCTCTAGTTATAGAGAAATCCTAAGATTGCTCTGATTCGTGGTCAGATAGCTCCTACCATGCTGTGGTCTCTGAACCTGCAACTAACTCCTTGCCCATGTAAGATCTCTGGGAAATTTCACGCTGTTCCTTAATATTAGATACCTAAATTTCCAGACAGACAGTGTTAACCAGAGACACTTGCTAAAAATGCGTTTAGCTGACCCCCGATTGCCCTGGTGAGGTGCTTTCCCCATGTTGTAGTGCAAGCTCTAAGTTCTTCCCCAAGATTGCTGGTTAGCTAGACCTGAGCAGTACTTGCTATGCTTACAGCAGTGCTGACCTCTGAACACTGCTCTGCTTTGGAGGGATCACCTGCCAGAGGAGCTGGTTGTTCCAACTCAAAGCTTATGCACCCTTTGCTCATTTGTAGGCAGTGGTCTGCAACTGCAGAGGAGTGAGGTGAAAGCACTGGCAGGCTCTAAATAGACCAGAAAGCATCATGGGATGGTGAGGAGCAGCTGTTTGTGGAGGTGGTGTTTCATTACCTGCCTGGGCAGCTTGCTGCCCTGTTGCAGCAGATCTTCATTTAAACCATTAAAGAAAAAGTATTTGAACTCCTGCCTTACCAGCATTTCCTTTTTACTATGTTACTGGTTCCTTCTTATACTGTCCTACCATCTGTGGGTCTTCTGTATTTTTCACATCTGGCTCTACTTTAGTGCTGTTTTGGTTCAGAAATCCTACAAACAAAAAAGACCCATGTGAAAAAAGCTGTGGTTTTCACTCATGGCTGGGGTTTGGTCTGATAGACAGGAACAGTTGCTCAGCATTTGCTCCATATCATTCTTTGACAACATGGAGGCTGAATACGTGCCAAAGGCAGAAGTCCCCTCAGTCCATCTTTTGACACGCTTGGGTATAGCTTTCTTGGGGTATCAACATTTATTTAAAGTAAAGTTTAAGTGTCTCAGAATGAGCTCTGGTTACTGGTACATGTTCATACTTGTGACAAAAAGATACTAAGGCTTTTCAAAATCTTGTTTATTTATTCAGTAGACACCAATTTTTATTCCAAATTACAAAGTGTAAACTGTGAAATAAGTACATGATGTTACTGTTGCAGAGAGAGACAACAGTACTGCTGTGTCTCTGTTGTCTTTTACAGTCACAAGTATTTAAATTCCCTACATGTAAAGATTTGAAAGCAAATGCCAAAACTCTGGCTCAGTCACTTGACTGTTTTTACAGAATGACAAATCCAGAAGGACAATAATGTTTTCCTTTTTTCTTTCCATTAGGTTGATTTGTCAAAGGACCTTCCTCACTGGAACAAGCTGAAAGCAGATGAAAAATACTTTATCTCTCACGTTCTGGCATTTTTTGCAGCCAGTGATGGAATTGTAAATGAAAACCTGGTGAGAAAGACTTACAGAGGGCTTGAATAGTCATGTTTTTGTCTTAGTAACTTTTCAACTTAATAATTTTCCATTTTGACTTTTTTATATTAATTCATAGGTTTATTAAAGGTGTATTTTTTTTCTTACCATCTTACCTTTGTCAAGTGGAACAAGCAGCTTGTTCATTTGGGAACAGTGTTTAAGTTGGGTTATCTGTGGTCATCAGGGCTCCCAATCACATCACTCTAGGACACAGCTTTTAAGTTCAGCCCCTGCTTGGCTGTGGGATGTGCATTTCTGAATGAATTTAATATGACCCCATATTTTTCCTGTACTCAAGTTAATTGAAAAATAGGGAATACAGACCATGGCTGTGCCATGTATTCCTAAGGTAAAATTTTTTTGTTGTCAATGAGTGGCATCCTAGAATCTTTTAGAGTTGCAGGTGAGTGCTGCTAAAAAGGTGGGGAATTCTTCCTGTTGATATCTATTCTGGGCTGGAGAATATCTCATCACAGGTTAATAGTGGTGTTTGTCTGCAGATGCCCAGTTTAAATCTCAAATGTTTGAATGTTTCTAACATGTAGCATATATGTGCATGTATTGCATGAACATGCCTTATGTCATTCTGTTTATATTTTTAATGCTGAACAAAAAGTCTGAGGCTTTGTTCAGTACTAAGTGATTAGGATTGCATTATTTTGCTGTTCTGTGTACGTAAGCCCTCATGCTTCAGCTCTTAGATGTATTTACTTCTGGCTAGCTTGCTTTATTTTCCTCTGCACCACAGCAATCCTATTGACATGTCTGTGAACAAAGTAGGATCAAACTGCTCCCATCCTGTTTCTGTAGCAGAGATCAGCTGTCTCTCCTGTTGAGCTCAGAGTAGTGTCATGCAGGACTGTTTTATTGTACTCATTGCCATGCTTTCTGGTTTTGGTAGGTGGCACGTTTTAGTCAGGAGGTGCAGATCCCAGAAGCTCGTTGTTTCTATGGCTTTCAAATTCTCATTGAGAATGTTCACTCAGAGATGTACAGCTTGCTCATAGACACCTACATCAAAGATCCCAAGAAAAGGTAAACCTCTGCTTGTGTTACAAAGCTGTGGGAAATCTGTCGCTGAAGCCAGTGCCACTGTTGTAGGACAGCATGGCAGCTGTTTCCTGTTTCATACTGACTTTCTGGGGAAGTTGGATAGGACAGAAAAGGAAAATAAGAATAATGATGATAATAATAATAGTACAAAACAAGTGATGCATAATGCAGTTGCTCACTGCCTGCTGACTGATACCCAGCCAGTTCCCAAGAGGCTAGCCAGCTTTCCCCTAGTTTATACTCTGAGCATGACATCGTATGGAGTATCCCTTTGGCCACTTGGTGTTTGCTGTTCTGGCTGTGTCCCCTCCCAGCTTCCTGTTCCCCCCAGCCTGCTCACAGGTGGGACAGGGTTAGAAGCTGAAGAGTCCTGGACTTTGTGTAAACAGTGCTTAGCAGCAACTAAAACATCAATATGTTATCAATATAATTCTCATTCTAAATATAAAACACAGCACTGTAGAAGCAACTGGGAAGAAAATTAACTCTATCCCAGACAAAAGCCGGACAGAACATCACCTCTTTGGGGTGGGAATGGTCTCTTACTTGGGTTAGTTCAGAGCCTTGCATAATGGGATCCTGGAGCTGGAAGGGACAACCAGGGCAGATTTACATAAATCACTATTTTGATGTTTTGTCTCTGTTTTCTTCTATAGGGATTTCTTATTTAATGCTATTGAAACAATGCCTTGTGTTAAGAAGAAAGCAGACTGGGCTCTGAAGTGGATTGAAGACCGAGAATCCACTTTTGGTGTGTAGCTTTTTCTACTTGTTTCTACTGTGTATCACAACCTGACCTTCTGTGAGTAAGCTGCATCCCTGGAACATTAAATTAAATTCTCAAGAGATGTAGTGACTTCTGGGTCTGGGTTTAACTAAAGAACTAGAAGTAAGTTCTGGTGAGCTTCTATGTTTTTATCTTCAGCTAGAGAAATAAAATAATGGCAGTGCCCCCTGAAATCATGTTATGAAAAGTGCTCTTTTTTGTCTTTATACTGAATGACACATACTGAATGATGTGGCTTCACTAAACAGTCAGATGATCTTGTAGTTTGAAGAGATACATTCATGAAGAGAACAGGGAGAACTGGCACCAATAATGCCTTGCTTTCCCCAGATTAAAGGTGGGATAACATGAATAGTTATTTGTGTCTTATGTTCTGTAGTCTTTCACTCTTGTAAGAATATGGTTTTATGTAGATTCCCAACAAGAAAAAATTGTGGTATAGGGTTTTTTGTTTAATTTATGAGAGACTGGCCTTTTTCTCAGTTTTGGCTGTCAGTTACACAGCTGCTTTCCTGCCTTCCAGGAGACAGAGATAATGGAGTACTAACGTCTTAGACACTTTGGACAATTAAATTCTTTTGCTTCTGACTTGTGATGATTTCAGTGGGTGCCCTGGTTCTTCAGTTCTGCTGGGGCTCCCTGGTTCTTCAGTTCTGCTGGGGTTCCCTATGGCTGAGTGCTGTGGGGTGTGTAGACCCTGTATGTGTCAGGATCTGCTGAGGGATGTGGTCAAAGACAGCATCTGGTGCTGCAGAGGGGATTGCTACTCTCCAGCACCACCCTGTCTGATGCAAATGGTTCATCTTGCTGATGAGAAATACTGCAATTTGTGTCTAACAAAAATGTGTTATGTTAAACAGGTGAGAGAGTGGTTGCCTTTGCTGCAGTGGAAGGCATCTTCTTTTCGGGTTCCTTTGCTGCTATATTTTGGTTGAAGAAGAGAGGCTTGATGCCTGGATTGACCTTCTCCAATGAACTTATTAGCAGAGATGAGGTAATGTGGCATGTCCTGCACACTGTTTGGGAAGGAAAGTGAGTTTCCCGGGGAAGGGTAGAATTATATTCATGAAGAACCCATAGTCTTGACAGAGGAAAGGGAAAGAAGCAGACTTTTACCAATAATTGTAGAATCATAGAATTGTTTAGATTGGTAAATACCTTTAAGATCACTGAATGAAACTGTTAACCTGCCACTGCCAAGTCCACCCCTAAACCAAGTCCCTATGTGCCACGTTACCATGTCTTTTAAATACCTTCAGTCATGGTGACTCAACTACTTCCCTGGACAGACTATTCTAATGCTTAACAGCAATTTCCATGTAGTTTTTTGTGATATCCAATGTAATCCCCTGTTTGATGCAACTTTAGGCTATTTCCTCTTGTCTTGTTGCTTGGGAGAAGAGACTGACCCACACCTTACCACAACTTTCTCTCAGGTAGTTGTAGAGAGCTCAGGTCTCCCCTGAGCCTCCTTTTCTTCAGCCTAAATACTCCCACCTCCCTCAGTAAATCCTCATAAGACTGGTGCTCCGTACCCTTCACTAGCTTTGTTGCTCTTCCCTGGACATGCTAGAGCACCTCAAAAGGATGGATTTTTTAGATTGAAGGGGATGTTTGTTTTCCTGTTCTGTGAAGGGAGGGAAAGGCCCAGCTGCTCAAGAAGTGAAGTGGGGTGGAATTGCATGGTCCCCAGCTGCAGGGGGGCCTGTCTGTAGCAAGAATGTGGATAATGTGTGACTCTTGAAATTTACTGTGCCTCAGCTTTTCCAGGCAGGTTCAGGTGGGCTCCAAATAGCACTCCCCACCTACTCCTGGTTGTGGGTCACAGAGCTTGCAGACAGCCAGCCGCCTCCATCCATCACTGAGGCAGCTGTGGCAGGTTGCTGCAGAAGCATGAGATACCAGTCCTCTCCATGATCTTGTGTTGCTGCACAGCAATAGCATCTCCTGGGAGGGGGCAATTACAGATCTGCCTTTGAGGGGAGTGCTTCTTAACTTGTGTCTGAGGGGCTGCATGTCATCACACCAAATATGACAGACCATGTGCTTACAAGTGCCCCTTTTCACTGCTTCCTTCCTTTCTTTCTTCTTCCTTTCCTTGCTCCCTGCAAGTTGACAGCTGTTGTTTGTGGCTGGGGACTGTGCACTGCACTACTTAGGTCGCTGTCAGCACTGAAAAAGTAGAAAGACCAGTTTTGTATGCAGTATAAACATGCTAGTGGTTGTAATTTAGCAGAGTTGGTCTTAATGTATAAAGAGCTTTTTTATAATGGAAGTAATTTTCATGGGTTAGATAAATTGCTTTGAAATGAGATATCTTAAAATATGTCTTTAAAAGACATTTTTGAAGAAAGTGATATGATGAGTAAGGAAAAACAAATAGTTCTTCAGCCTTTACCTTCCTTGTGTCTTCTGTGAGTCATCATGAACTGATCCATTTGAGCCAGGCAGGATTTGTTTGTTACAAGGATTACTTACAGCTGAGTGTAACTACTCTGCAGAATTGAGCACCAACAGATGAAAATTTTGTTGAGCTCTGCTGGCATAATTCCAACTGCAGTGCTGTTATGAAGGTTAAAGCTTGGTGCACAGAGCACCTGCATTGAAACCCAGTGGCAGTAAAAAGAATCCACAATGGAAAACTACAAACTGTTTTTTGGTGCACCTGGACAGATAACTGATTAACACTCAGTGTGTTTTTTGAGCTGCTGGCTCTGTTCCCAGGCTCTTCTTGAGCTGGTGCATCTCTGATACTTAAAGGTGCAAAGCTGGTGGGATCACCAGTCAGCAGAGCACACCAGTTCATGGGAGAAGCCAGGCATGTCCTGCATCCTGCTGGTGGTGTTGCCCTGGATAAGACCATGGGAAGCCTTGCAGCAGGAGCTAATGCAGTTGGTCACTAGAGGGGGGGATATTTCACAAATTATATTATTTCAGGGCTGTTTCATGACCTTAATCACAAGGATTTTGTAGCCTCCCCAGAATGGTTTTCACAGAATCACTGAATTGTAAGGGTTGGAAGGGTTCTCTGGAAATCATCTAGTCCAGCTGCCCTGCCAAGCAGGGTCACCTGAAGCAGGTGACACAGGAACGTGTCCAGGTGCATTTGGAATGTGTCCAGAGAGGGTGACTCTGCAATCACCCTGGGCAGCCTGTTCCAGTGCTCTGTCACACTCGACAAAGTTCTTCCTCATGTTGATGTTGAGGTGAAACTTCCTGTGTTTTAGTTTGCAGCCATTGCTCCTCATCTTGTCGCTGGGCACCACTGAAAAGAGTCTGGAACCATCCTCTTGGCACCTGCTTGTCCTGGCTTCAGCCAAAGAGAGTTAGTTCTTTGTAGTTGCTGTGAGGGTGTGGAGCCTGGAGCTGTGTGGGCATGCTAAGACCATAAGATGTTGTTGGGTACCATCTCAGGTCATTGACAGGGGTGGGGAAAAGGGACTCTCTCCTCCTTTTGAGAAGAAGGTTGTTCCTTCCAGTGGGAAAAAATGTAATAGGGAAGAGCAGGTGGGTATTTGTCATGGGGTTTCCATATAAATAACTTCTTTGTCTTATACATTTTGTTGTTCATATTGCTGTTACTGTTCCTTTTGTTATCTCATTGTTGTTTCCAGTCCCATGCTTTTCACCTTTTGTGCCTCCATCTGCAAAGCAGGAAAGGGCAAGGGGAAGCTGGGGGTGTCTTGGTGGGGGCAGGGAGCAAGCAAGTGGCATCTGGTTTGGGATAGTCTTGGTAGGGGCACTGAACTGGGGAGTGCCACTCCTAAACCACAATACCACCTTTGAGATAATTATATGCATTAATGAGATCCCCTCTCAGTGTTCTCTTCTCCAGACTAAAAAGGCCCAGCTCCTGCAGTCTCTCCTCATAAAAAAGACACTCCAGACCTCTCATCATTTTTATAACCACTGCTGGACCCTCTCCAGCAGCTCCTTGTCTCTTTCGTATTGGGGACCCAGAACTTGACACAGCAGATGGGATGTTACCAGGGATGGGCAGAGGGAGAGGATCACTTCCCTTGACCTGCTGGCCACACTCTTCCTAATGTACCCCAAGATACCCCTGGCCCTTCTGGTCACAAGGGCACTGCTGGCTCAGTCAACTTGTTACCCACTGAGACTCCCAGGTCTTTTGCAGCAGAACAGCTCTCCAGTAGGTCAGCCCCCAGGTTTTGTTTTGACACTTGCTAATGATAATTTTGCATAGTCTGGTAGCCCATAGTCTGCCAAATTCTTTCTGATTCATTTTCACTCTGGGTGTGCCCTCTTGGTGTTTATTGGCTGTAACCACCACCTTGCAGTTGAGGGATGGTAGCACAGTGCTCCTTCAGTCTGGCAGTAGTGGGTATGGCTGAAGCAAGACCATCAAGCTGTACCCAGGCAAGTCAAAGAGAAGCTGAGGTGCCTCTTGTAGCAGCTGTCTGGGGCTGCTTGTCTCCTGATGTTTTCTTACCTTGGGAAACTTTTCTGGAAATCCTGGAAAGGAGCACAGTTTACTAGGCTCTGTGTAGGATAGCTGGGTGAAGTGAGAAAGAGAGTTTAGCTGGGGCAGAGATGATTTGTTAATCTTGGGTTTGGTGACTTTAATCTGAATCTGCCTTTCTGAAAATGCTGTTGGGAGAAGCAAGGGAAGAAATGCTACTGAAGGAATTTAAATCAAGTATCTCAAAGAGCAGGTAAACAGCCTGTTTTGACTCACAAGTAGTTTTGCAGGTCTTGATGTAGAAGTCTTTCAGCAAAATCTTCCCTGACAGGAGGCAGCAAGGGATCACTAACAGTAGAGAGGAGTCCTCAGAAAAATTTTTCCTGAGAAATGTGTATGCTGAACATTATTTTGGGATAGTGGCATGTGTTAGATTTGAGATGTTACTGGGTTGTAAACTACAAGTCCACACTACATGTGATAACATTAAGACTTTCATAAAAGCAGGAGGCTGGGAAACTTCAATCCAAATGAGACTACCTGAAAATAAGAGTGAACTATGTGGAAGATGGGAAAACTGACTGTTTTTTTCATTGTTCTCTGATTTCAGGGTCTACACTGTGATTTTGCTTGTCTAATGTTCCATTATTTAGTGAACAGACCGTCAGAAGAGCGAGTCTGTGAGATCATCGTTAATGCTGTAGAAATTGAGCAGGTAATCCTGGCTGTGACCACACTGTGGGCAGCACGGGCCCAGTCTGAGGTGTGAAAACAAACAAATTAACTTCTAACTTTCAGGATTGATACTTGGCTCAGGATTGATCCCTGATGCATTATACCATTCTTTCCCTCTTCCTTAATGGTGACAATAAGAGTCAGAGACTTTCTGTTTCAGTTGTCAAGCAACAGGGGGGAGGTGAAGCTGGCAGCAGGTTTTCTCCTTAATGACAGAAAGGAAGAAAAGCTGTCTTAGTTGATATTGAATAGAATAATTTCACTTGGAAGGGACCTACAATAATCATCTAGTCCAATTGCAGCTGTCTCTCAGAGAGGAGTTCGTTTACATCTGTCCTTTCAGGATCTTTGTCTCTCCCTATTGTATTCACATCTCTGCTTTTCCTCAGGAGAAGGCAGGGTCTGTTCTGGCCACGAGTATCATGTCTTCTGGCTTTTCCTGAGGTTGATGCCAGGTTCTTTCACATGAAGTGTCACCCTTCTGCAGACAAAAGTTTCTGCATGGCTGAGTGTTTGGCAGGATTTTAGTTTAGTTTTCTTTCCTGTTGTTATCTTAACTACTGTGATGATAACAAGTGCTCACAACACTGACAGGTATGCAGTGGTGCCTAAACATACACATGACTGGGTTCAGCACTCATATATTTCATTGCCCTCTGATCTGTCATTCTATATTGGCTGGAAGCCAGCAAAACCAGTGATTTATTGATCTATTCCTGCTCCCACTAGTATGGTCTGTAGGTTTATTGAAGTTGGAGCTTAAGCTTACACTGAAGCTTACACTGGGGCATTGAAGAAAGGCAGTTTAGAGGGGCAGTGATAAAATCTTGTGCCTTTTCCAGAATAACAGGCTAAAAATAAAGGAGGTTACTGAAAACAGAATATATTTGTTGAAATTAGTGATGCAAGTTATTTAAGACAGTTTCCTGGGGAGCCTGGAATATCACAGAGTATGTTACGGTGATACACAGGTGTCTTCTCTCCTTTTTCTTCTTAAATTTCATTTCTCTAAAGGTCATCTGTATTTTAACTTCTAGGAGTTTCTAACTGAGGCGTTACCTGTGGGTCTGATTGGAATGAATTGCACCTTGATGAAACAATACATTGAATTTGTTGCAGACAGGTTACTAATGGAGCTTGGGTTCTCAAAGGTAAGAGATGCAATTGTCCCAAATGCTGGCCTGCCAGTGCAGCCCAGAACTGCCAGCACAAAGCACTCCCTTGTCGTGCTGGGGAGCAGATCATATTTAGCACAAGGACTTCCTCTGAGTGACAGCTGAAACCACAGCATTCATACCTATGCTTCACTGTAAAAGAGCAAGAACAATTTAGGCCTTTGTTTCCCTTCAGCTGCTCAGCTCAGTTTGTAATGGGAAGCGTAAGCTGTGCTCAGATGCTGCAGTGTTGAAGAATAACAAGCACCTTGCAAAAGTGAACTTCACCACAGACCAAACTCCTGGGAGTGGCAGTATTGAATTTACTTCGATAGATGTCCGTAGATCCATAGGGACCATAGATGTCCATAGGGTACTGCAGCCAGAAGTGGTCTAGTTTGAAAACGTTTGACAGTTTTGTTTGTTATGGGGTTTTTAAAGCATTATTTCCCTGTCACAGCCACCAGTGTGTTTTCCTTCCCCAGGTCTTTCATGCAGAAAATCCTTTTGATTTCATGGAGAATATTTCTCTGGAAGGAAAAACAAATTTCTTTGAGAAGCGGGTTTCGGAATATCAACGTTTTGCTGTCATGGCAGAAACAATGGACAATGTCTTCACTCTGGATGCAGATTTTTGACAAATTGGCAAATGAATGGTGACTGTTTCCCTCTCCTTATCTCCCTTTATGCTGTGAAATTAATTAATTTCTTCTAATTTCTTCTTGTGGAAATCAGAGTCTACTGGGATATTTTTCCTGGGTTTTCATGTTGTTTGTCAGAGGAGTAAATATATTTCTCTCTGTGTCATTTGAAAAAAAAAAGGGGAATCATCTGTAAAAAATGTATATGGCTTTGTAGAATGATGACCTTTTTAAGATTCCCTTGACTCATCTGCTGTCAATGCTGTCTTTAAAGATGACATGGATAGTGTCATATGTCACAAACGTGGATGTTTGTTTAAGAAGCAAACTCCATATTTACCTCATGTTATGGTATTTTAATATGAAAACCAGATGAGGTATCACTCCACGTAAAAACATCACTATAAATTATTTTCCTGTTTTCTGTTTTCATGTTTGTAGGTTTGGTCTGTTTGGTAGTTTTGGAGTAAAAGCTTTTCTGTTTCATCCTGTTGCAGATACAGTAATAGTTGAATGTGAGAAGACCTTAATGAGGTCTGACCTATAGAATATTATTAAACCCAGGAGTTAAGTGTAATCTCCCCATTAACCTAGGTTCTGTCTGAAACAATTTTTATTCTGGTTGGAAAAGTGATGGGTCCTGGTAGGCATGTAATTCAAATACATGTAATTCTTGTCTTACAGCTGTTACTGAACAGGTCAGTGGCCTTTGAACAATTCTTGAAAAGGCACACCTGTTAACAGTGGAGAAAAAATCTACTACACATCCTGTAGTTCTTTGGCTTCTGCTGCCTGTTTTTCCTTGCTTCACTGATCAAGTGCCTTATTAAGTAATTCTGTTTGTAATCACTTGACACTGAAACAGCCAGCTCTGGGTGTTGTCCATCTCCCCCTGTTGTGCTGGGTGGTTTGATATTCTCCCCTTCTTGGTTGTACTTGTGCATTGAAGGGGTGAGAAGACATGTCATTCCAAGGGATTATTCCTTGAGGTGCTACAAACAGACTACTTGGGATGTAAGGAAGCACCCAATAACATATGAAGGTACATCAGGTTGTGTGTTTGATGTGAACCATTGGAACCATTGTCACAGAACAGCTTCTGAAAGAAGGTATTAAACATTTCAAAAACAGGCCCAGAGGTAGTATGGAGTAGCAGCATCTTACAAAGAACTGTTGTTTGGTTTTTGATTGTGTGCCTGAAAACTGTTTCTAATTTTTTGATATCATGTGTAGAGAATGGAGGGATTGAGGAGTGGCTGACATGCTGCACTGGTACTTGGGGTAGAAGACATGCTATTTAGCTGTACCTGGTTTATCTGCAAATAGATGGGCTCTTTTTTTTTTCCAAGATGAAGTGAGTGTACAAGAGCTAGACAAAGGGTTCCACTTTATTAAACCCAAGCATTTTTTATAATTTACAGCATTTTGTGAAAGTGCTTTTGTAAGTCTTACCATTGCAAACATTTTGTGCTGCTTCTGATACATCTGGCATGAGCCAAACTGACAGCCCAGGGTTATCAGTGATGGGGTGGTGTAAGAGTTATTTCCCTGCCAGCCCAGATCAGCCATCATCCTGGGTACCCAAGTTCCATGAAACAGGTCCACTGCCTTAGCACTTAATTCCTAGTGGACAACTCCCTGCTGTAAAAATAAACAGCAAAATTGACTTAGTTTTTTTTAGTCTCTTTAAAAGATCAGGAGTATGTACTGAGCATGGAAATGGAACAGCTTATTTTTTCCTGGAGAAGAGCCTGCATCATTTGTATGAGTTACTTGGAAGAGGGCACAGACAAAAGCTGGAACTGCAGGAGAACTGTGGACTCAGAGGGAAAACCCAACACCTTTTGGAAACATTGAGCTGATAGGGTAGGAAGTGAAAATACTGTAAATCGATCTGCTGTTGGAGTAATGGAACCTATTATGTCACTGAAAGTACTAAAAAGCATTTATTTTGAGTCATGAATGATAATGAGAATATAGAGAGTATTCTAATATGAAACTGCAATGTGCTCAGGTTCTGTAAATGTATATGAGATACCAAAGTCTGGTACATTGGCTCCCACTCAATTTGTGTGTAAAATATGTGTGTAGTTTCAATAAAATTTGAGTGTGGGGAAGCCCATGCCTTGATTTACAAGTTACATGCTTCCTTGTGAAATCTAAAGTGATAAAATTGGGATGTGGCAGAGTAAATCAGTATTCACAGCTTTTGGGTTGTGGGAGAAAGTTATGAGTGCTCCCTATATTGTCTTGCACTAATTTGGAGCTCTTGACTTGCTCTTTCTTGTTCCTGGAAATAGGTTTTGCAATCTAGTGAGCAAACAAGTGGGTTTGGTGGTTGGTTGGTTGGTTGGTTTTTAATTGGGATTTTCTGGCACAAGGAGAAATATTTTGGGAGTCTATAAGACTCAATGAAGAAACACTCCAAAAATGTATTGTCAGTGCGTGGTACCCAATATATCAAGGGCATCGTGCTCTTGGGGCAGGCACCCTGACTGCCTGGGCACAGCTTCATGGGCTGCAGGCCCTGAGCTGGGCCAGCCAGGCACCTGCCTGAAGCCAAGTGCTGGTCACCTGTGTGTGGGCTGGCACAGCTTCACACCTGCTTGTGTATGCGCTCTCAGAGCTGCCATTTCAAGTCTTGTTCCTGCAGCCCCTTTGTTCCTCCTTGAAGAGGTGCCTTCTTCCACTGGTGCTGGGCACAGGGCAGAACCCAATGAGCCTCTGAGGGCTCAGTGTCTCAGGCTTAAAAAAGCCTGATGGGTGTGTGTGGGAGAGGTGTGAAGCATCCCTTCGGTGTGCGTGGTCTGGGTTGGAATAAGGCTGCTGTGTGACGTCGCTGTAGCCAGTGTGACAGAGAAGGTGCTTCCTGGAGGAGTTTGTCTCGTGATGAAGAACATATCTGCAAGGGTCAGATAGTAGAAACCTCTCTCTGGGGGCTGCAATAGGAGCTGAGGCTCATGGGAAGAATCACCCCTTTTAAATTCCAAAGTGGCCTCTGTAGTTCCCACTCATTCAAGCCTCCATCCATTCAAGCAGACGTGTGCCTCCTGCAAATCCCATGAGTTGGTTATCAGTAGCCACAAGCAGACATTGTGCTCCCAACGCTGTGCTCTGGCTGTGAAACCACTGCAGAGTGCAGTAGGTCAGTGAGTATTCCCAGCCTGTGTTGGAAAACAAAAGAAAGTGGGTGAAAGCAGGGCAGCTAGCAATCTCTTTCTTAGTGTTTTTGGACTGGAATTTTTTGCAGCTGGTGAGGATGCTGCCTGTGTGGCAGCACCCACAGAACTGCGGCCAGCCCCTGGCCAGCTGACACTGTGCTGATCCATTTCCACCACATTTTTTATCCTTGTCTTTGAATGATGAAAGCTTTGAAAGAACAGGTGTGGCCTCCCTGCCAGTCACCCAGGCTGCCAGAGGAGAATCTTCCTTCTAGCCTTCCTGAGGGGATGATCTGGGCTGGTTTTTCCTCCTGGTGGAGCCCTTGAGTCAGCAAATATTAATGTTTCTGTCACTATTATCTAGAGCTCCTTCTAGGACTCAGTCACTGGCGCTGCTGATGTGTTAACATTTCATGTAGCTGAGTTTGTTTTTGCTGGGAGGATGCTTGTGTGCCTTCAGGAATGTTCCTGTGTGCGTACAGACTCTGTGATTGTGCGTATGGGGATACGCGTCTGGCACACAGGCGTGTGCGTACACACCACACACACCAGCAGAGCCGAGGGGAAAAGCTGTTGAATGTCAGCTTTTAGCAAACTCTCTCTGGAGCAGAAGGGCAGGGTGGACACTGTAACATTGCTATTAAGAGATGCTATTCCTGGCTTGCCAAAGCTGCTGCCTTGCCCTGCTTCCTGTGGCCTGGGCACGGATGGGCAGTGGTCCCATCCCATCGTACATGATCTGGTTCTAGGAGCCAGGGCTGCCCTGAGGATGGAACTGTGCTCTGCTTACTTTAACTAAAGTTTTTTCAGTTTGAAATGCAGGTAAATGTCAGGAATGGCTGCTTTTGGCCAGTGTGGAGCACTCGTTTCTTCTTTGAACAGTAACTTTGGCATTTGGCTGTTTGAATGTACTCATGTGGACAGGCTGGGAAATTCCCTGATGAATTTTGACCCTTCAAATGAAGTAAAGGGATTTGTAAGTGACAGACACAAGATTTCCATGACAAGCAGCAGTGCTGCCAATATCACAGCTTCTTGTGGAGTGCTGCTGACTAGGGGCTCCTGCCCTGCAGATCCTTCTTACAAATATGCTTGAAGGGCTTACCTGGGAAATGTCGTCCTCCTTCTATTGCTTTGGCAGCACCATTCATCACTGCATTGGCTTCTATTGCTTTGGCAGCACCATTCATCACTGCATTGGCTCTAGTGTGCCTACTGATGGGCTCACAGGAGCAAATCTGTATCATCAATCCCTTTTTGTGCTGTAGTCCGCTGTTTGGTTACTGTTACCCTGGGAATGGCCTCCCATAGCTGCTGCAGCATCTCTAGTGAGCTTGTAGGAGAGCTGCCACAGAGAACTGCATGGACCAGCCTGGCATTAAGGGTGAGGTGTTGACACCTACCATGAGAACAGGCCATCTTTGGGGCTTGTCTCAAGGCCTTGTCTGTTCCTTTAGGAAATGCCTCTTGCTGCAGAGGCAGGGGGAGGTCCTCACCAGCATATTATGAAAAAAGATCAACAGACTGATGGAAAGTTATTTTGGGTTCGTAGGTGACTTCACCAGCAGGGACTGACTTTGGATTCTGTCCCTCTGGTGTCTAGTGAATGTCAGAAAAAAATTTGTGCCAGCACAATGACAGCTGTATGTGATCTGCTCAAAGGCTCGAAATCCCTGAAAGTCTCTCCTAAATGTCGCATGCTACTCCTACTCCTACTGAAATGAAGCCACTGGGATGCCGTAAACAGCTCTGCTGGTTGCTGCTCTGCCCACTCAGTGTGATGGCTGGCAGGGTGCTGCTGTGCCCTTTCAGCTGCAGCTCAGGCTGAAGTCCTGCCTGGCTTGGCCTTGGCTCTTGCTGATCCCAGCGTGCAGTGGCAGGGCCAGAGGAAAGGCTGCAGTGAAGCACTGGCCTGTCAGACTGGGGCAGATGCTGACCACAACCATGTTTGCTTGCCCCAGCCAGGACTCAGAGGGGGCTGCCCACTCATGAGGCTGGTGTGGTTTTTACAAGCCCCTCAAACAAGATCCTCTTTTAGGTCATCCATAAGTTACTTTTAGTGGTGAGGCTCCCAAAATCACACTGGAGGCTCTGGGTGGAACAGAGGAGTTGGTGGCATTTTGTTTTCTTGTCTATTGGCAGATCCAACAGAAGTGTTAAGAACAAGTCTCAACATCCAAATTCTTTTTACTGATCTGACAAAAGCCTCTGGTAGTGCAGCCTAAGCTGAACTTGAGAGCTTCAGGGAAAGTCTGCCTCCCTATCACTATTCCTTAGCCCACAGACATGATTCTGAAGAGATTATACTCGGGTTGTTTTATGAGGAAATCCTTTTCATAGCTAGTGGCCTTGCCATGCAGGAGGTTGTCCAGGCTCTGCACCTGTGCTGTGTCTGCAGGCCTGTTACCTAGCAGCCTGTCCAGGGCCCACTGTGTGCTGATGATGGCCACCACTGCTGGCCTCTGCCATGGGCTGTCTCCAGCATGGGATGGGCTGTCTGCTGCTTCACAGGTGGTTTTGAGAGATTAATTGAAGGCAGACTGCAGTGGCACATCAGCCACCTCCTGAGATGAGACCACTCAGGGAAGGGCTGGGGAATTCTGAAGGCAGTGACGTGCCTTGGGTAGGAAAAGTATGACAAGCAAAAAATGTGCTGGTGGCAGTGGGAGTGACAGCCCATTCACTCCTCACTGCTTAGATGCCAGCAGCAATGCCACAAAAGCGATCATCATACACAGAATTTGTGTGGTCACTCATATCCTGCAAAAGCTTTTAGAGTTGTTAGTGCAAGCATTTCTGCCCTGTGAGATGAGGCTTGCATTTCAGTTATTGATTTCTTTTTTCTTTCAATTTGAAGGGAAATAGAGTTAGATTACAGCTTATTAGGCTGACTGGAGAACTGACTGCTTTTATTAAATTTCTTCATTCGCAGTGTGTGAAATTGCTGGCTTCAGAGACAGGTGTTAGGATAAGCCTTGACAGAGCTGCCTTGCTCCTTGCTCAGTCATTGCTCTGTCTCCTGCTTAGTCATCCCTCTGTGGGCTGATGGGATGGTGTCTGGAGGGGTCCTACAGCCACTACCACATGTGCCTCATTTTTGGATTAACATCATCATGGAAAAAAAGCATTACTTGGTTAATTTCTCCAAGATTCCTGTTGTTAGAAGCCCCTTCCATGAAGCTGGTCCAGTTTGCTTAATTCCTTGTATAGCAGAGCAGGGTGTAAAGCCAAAGAATATTTTCCCAGCTTCTCCCACACTCTGCAGGGTTTGAGAACTGAGTGAGGATGCCTTTGGGCACCTTTGAAAGGACAGCAGCTGGCCAATGCCACAAGCCCTGCACCGAAGCAGAGGGACAAGGTGATGAGCCTTCTTCCTTGTAGCCCCCAGTCCTCTTGAGCTATAAGGCTGTAAGGCAGTGGCCCCAGCCATGGGATGCACATCCTGCATCTGGTGCAGGGAGGATGTTTTATGGCTCTTGGTATGCTGTTGAGGCCAGACAAACTCATGGGGAAACATTGCAAGCTGCTGAGATAAATGCAGGGATTCTCACAGTAGGACATGGCCTACTGCAGTGCCTGTTTGCAACGCTAAGTCACTGGATAAGAATTCCTCTGTATAATTAAAAAAATAATTGTATTTTTAGCTGTCTTGATTTTTAATTTTTCTTTCCCCTACTCACTGCCCCTCACCCCTCCTGGCTGATTTTATTCACCTTAGGCCAATTAGATTTGCATACTTAAAAAAACACGAGGTTCTTGAAAGGTTTGTTAAAGCTCTTCTGTTACTTAGAATATTAACCTACATTTACTCTTGGTGCTGCTGTACTTTGTGGTATGATACCTGCATAAGCAAAACTTTCTCTTCCACATCCATTAGGTGGAAGTAGCAGCACTGGCACATGCTGACTGTATTTTAAACTCAAATGATGTTATCCAAAGCCCATAAAAAGAGACCAATTGCTGCCACTTGTGTTTCATTT